ATAAAATATATTTACATATATACCCTTTATAAAGTTAAATCAAATAGTATTGTACTGTTAAATATCATATTTTTGTCCTTCAATAAACTTGTGTCCTTTTTTAATTGTTTTTATAAACATGTATCTTCATTTTGGTTTTCTCCCTTTATTTTATGACACATCTACATTGTAACTCACCTATACCTATATTTTTTGTCTTTTAATAAACTTTTGTCCTTTTTTAATTTTTTTTATAAACAAGTGTCTTCGTTTTGATTTTCTCCCTTTATTTTATGACACTTCTACATTGTAACTCATCCATACCTGCATATATGGTCACGATATATTCTTTGATTTCATGTTGCTAACTATTAATCACAAATTAAATTGACTAAAATAAAAATCTATATCAGGTAATCATCATAATTAAATTCTTTGATTCCTTGTATTATCAATATTTGCTAAAGTAATAATAAAAAGTTCTAATGTGATAATTTAACGTTATCTAACCATATCGCAAACAAGAAAATTATTTTTGCACTTACCATAATGACTAGAACTGATGAGATCTTTACTAAGTTGAACACCTTTATCGTCATCCAAACGTACTTTTGTTTTTGACAGAAGGTATTGAATTATTCCCTTGTGATCATACCTTGCTGCTTCATGAATTGGAAGATAACCCTCTTCGTTCCTTATGTTTGGAAATTCAATGTGCCTAAGGACATAAGCTTTTGCAGCATTTCTATTGCCATAAATAGCAGCATGGAATATGACGGATCGGCCAAACTCTCCTCTCAAATTTTGAAGTCCTTCTGAACTGATCTTGAATGCAAGTTTCTTTATAAGCCAAGTGGGTGCAGCTGATACATTAATTATGTGAAAAATGGTGTCCCCAAATTCTGAAACAGTTTCAGTTAAGACCCAAGGAGTCCTGTTTACCAAATCTTGTAAAAGTATCCAATTACGCTTCTGTACAGCCTTGATTAGTGGCTTGAACCGAGCATTATCAACTGCCAATTTCAAATAATGTAGATGTGAAAATGTATGTTAAGGATTGTAAAATCTATTATGAAATGCATGAAATTTCAATTTTTATCCGAGTCACATACCTTTCCCTTTCAATACTGATTGATCACTCTTTTCACTTTTCAAATTTTCAGTTTTTTCAGTAAGATCAATTTGACCTTCCAAATTTTCAGTTTTTTCAGTAAGATCAACTTGCTTCGTTTGTGTGGCTTCGTCTCCCTTTTTGTTAATCGAGTTATTGGATGGTTGAACATTATCAGCTCCTGTACACTTTCGTTTACCATTAATTTCAAATTATGTACACATGGGAAAAAATATGATGTAGAAGTACTATCTACTTACCTTTCCCTTTCAATACTAATTCAGCACTCTTGTGACTTTCCAAAATTTCGGTTATTTGATCATCACGATCGGTTTGCTTTATTTGTGTGGTTTCACCTCCTTTTTGATTAACTGGGTTATTGGATGGATGAGCATGATCGCCTTTCAATACTAATTCATTTCCTTTTTTTTGCTTTGTTTGAGTGGTTTCGTCTTCCTTTATGCAAACTGAGTTATTGGATGGTTGAAAATGGTTGCCTTTTTTTCTCCTTCTATTCACTGTAAATTCCAAATTATATATGTACACATGATAAAAAGTATGAAGTAGAAGTAATTCCTACATAGTTTTGAACTAACCTTTTCCTTTCCGTGTTGATTCAGCACTTTTTTGATTTTCCCAGATTTTGCTTTTTCCATGAGGACTAGCTTGCTTCGTTTGAGTCGTTTCGTCTTCCTTTTTGCTAACTAAATTTTTGGATGGTCGAACATGATCTCCCTTTTTACTCTTTCTATTCACTATCAGAACCAAATTACGTACACATGAGAGAAAATATGAGGTAGAAGTATTATGTATATCAAATCCCAAGTCGAACTAAGCAGTTTTTGAGCTCCACACATGCATGCTTTACCCAAAACATGTCTACTTGATAATGGGAACCCAAGCTGAAAAACCCAAATATATATAATATTTAACTTACCTCTTCTCTTTTCACTTTCCAAAATTTCGGTGTTTTCTTTAGAATCAGCTTGCTTCATTTGAGTGGTTTCGGTTCCCTTTCTGCTAACTGAGTTAGTGGATGATTGAACATGATTGCCTTCTTTACTCTTTCTGTTCACTATTAATTCCAAAATATGTACACATGAGAAAAAAATTGAGGTAAAAGTACTATCTATATAGTTTTTAACGTACCTTTCCCTTTCATCACTGATTCATCGCTTTTGTGACTTTGCAAATTTTCATTTTTTTCACTGGTACCAGCTTGGCCTGCTTGAGTGTTTTGGTCTCCCTTTTTGCTAAATGAGTTTTTGGATGGTTGAACATGAATGCCTTTTCTACTTTTTCCGTTCACTGTTAATTTCAATATATTATGTACACATGAGAATAAGTATGAGGTAGAAGTACTATGTATCTATGTATTTATTATTATATGATATTAGTTATTGAAAGATCTGCATATCACCTAATATGATGTGTGTCATTTATTTACCTTGCGTTGTCCCAGATTCATAAGCATTCATTTTGCATTCCGGAATTTCTTTATTGGCATCAACTCGCATCGTCTCAGTGATTTTTACTCCAAAGTTGGATTGCATCCCACTTTTTTCTTTCCAAATTTGTGGTTTGTTTTTAGACCGATTACTGCTACCCAAACTTATTGAAAGATCCATCTATATTCACTTCTTTCACCTTTACCAAAAGGACAAATAGGATGACAATCAATATAAAATTCAAGACTCACGAAGAAAGTGTTTAAAGACGAAAACCTATCTTATGGCTTAAAGGACAAACGAGCATATGTTATATAGGCTAATTTAAATGATTTCTTAATACAATTTGTTCACTTAAATCAAATCTTAAATATGACTTAATTAAAGAAAGACTAATAAAGTATATGGTTGGTACAATCACATGCATATATGGTTGGATTAAAGAAAGATTGATAAGGTAAAAGATATCTATTATATAATTAGTGAATCATTAATAAATTAAGTATACAATTGGATCATTCATCTAAGTTAAAATTTGTCAAGAACATAAAATAAAATAGTACTGATCAACTTACAGGCAGAACGAATTAGTCTATGCAAAATTAATTCAACCTCAGATCGTGTTTACGCTCATAAGATATATAAGATCAAAATTATCAACTATTGGTGCCAATTAGAAAAACCTACTTCTATTCATTCCTTCAGCAGCAACGTTTATAACTTTTATTGATTTTATACTTCTGGTTTATTGATTTTATTGTTTAGTTATCTGCTGTTAAAGTGGATTTATTTTGAGATGATCATTGTTAGGGCCAAAAATCGTCTTTGGCCCAAATAGGAAAACAGGACCACTAGTGAAGAAGAGACCAGGCCCAGTCCTAAAGAGGCCCAAGCCAAATTAGTCCCATTTGATACGAGATACAGCCGACCCAAACCATATGGGCACGGACCTTTCAGTTCCAGTTCACTTCATGGGCCTATAGGCAAGTTCCGAGCCCCCAGCCCACTGATCACATTCCAGTTCCTGATCAGTCTCCTAATCGAAGTCATTTTCCTGTTCAGAACACTTCCCTATTCAAAGTTACTTTCTTGATCAGAATCACCTTCTTATCCGGACACTGTTAAGACAGCATACCACGGCCCTAATTCTTCTAGGGTTCGCATCAGAGTCACATTAGGACTCATACTCCCACCAGGATTGGGAGACCAGACAGTCACTATATAAACAGAGGTCAGCCCTCTCACAAAGGACACACTACATTACACCTTCACATCCGAAGCTCCTACTTGAGAGCTTTACATCACTATCGTAGTCACAGTCTCCGACTAGACTTCCGGTAACCTCTTTACTCTCTAGCCCTCACTATACTAGCCTCTTTCAGCCTTGCTAACTTGAGCGACGGAGTGCCTACGGCAAACACCACCCTGGTGTTTCTCGTTCGCTTCACGCGTTTGTTTTTCTACGTGTGCAGGTACAACGGATCGTTAGTGGCCTCAACCTCACGGGATCAGACCCCCCTTCCGTACAGGTAGATTTTTACGTCTACAGTTTGGCGCCCACCATGGGGCCTCTAGCAATCATTCGGCTCGACGAACCCTGCTGCGTAGAGGAACTTTCCATGGCTGACAACTTCGATAACTCTAATCCTGGCCTCGAGGCCAAACTGGAAGCTCTAACTGCTCTCATGCAACAGAACTTGGACAAGGTGGCTGCATTGGAAGCTAAGAACAATGCGATCCGAACAGAAAACACGTCCATCAGGTCAGAAAACCAATCTCTCAAGGAGAAAGTGAGTCAATTCTATGACCTAGAGTTCCTGCCCGGCCAAGCACCCCCCAATCGGTTCCATACCCCTGTTCCGTCCATGCAACCTCTTCTTACGCCGGAGCCCCGACTCTCAGCCTCTAGCAAAAGGCCGCGTCCCTTAAACCCGTCTGCGGTCAACGATTCTGTCCTAATTCATGGAGATAAAGATATGCCTGTAGAACATCATTCAGTCGATTCATCCCAACATCAAGATCAAGACGATCCAATGGCAGAAAGCCCTCATCCACAAGACCAGCTCAATCTAACCATCCCAACACATACTCCACTCGGCTCGGCTCATCCTCGCGGGATGAACGGCCAAACTAAACCAACAGCACCCGAGCCCATCCATCCTGACCAACCGAATGACTATCAGAGGACTCCCCTGACCATCCATGTAGGGCGAAACACCAAAACAGTTACCATGGGAGTCATCCAACCGGAAGGAATGACCGAAGATCTATGCTATCAGGGAACACACGAAGGAACTCGTCAGACTACCCCAAGAGGGATGACCCAACGGAATGTGCCAAAGTTAAATACAAAGGCTGACCCGATCATGCGAGATGACCTAGTGGCGTCCCCTTCTCTTATGGAACAGGTACTAGCCAAGAGATTGGCCGATGTGGAAGCAGTGATGTGACGCATTCCAGGAATGCCGGTCCCAATCAAGAAGAGCAGGCCCCATTGTTACGCGGATTCACCCTTCGTGGACAAGATCGCCCTAGCCGACATGCCTCAGAAGTTCACTATCCCCAACATGAAAATGTACGACGGCACAACCGATCTGAACAATCACATAGCCTCGTACAAGCAGCGGATGTTCACCGTCTCAATACCCCGACTGCTTAGGAAAGCCTGCATGTGCAAAAGTTTCGGTTCGAGCTTACCCGGCCCAGCACTCCAATGGTACACGAACCTCCCAAACGGATCCATCGATTCATTTGCTCAACTCACCGACACGTTTGTGGAACAGTTCGCCAGCAGCAAGAAACTCGAGAAGCTATCAGCCGACCTATACAAAGTATACCAGAAAAGGGGCAAGCCATTGAGAGAGTATGTCAACAGGTTTAACAAAGAGAAGATCTCCATCCCTGCATGCAACCTTGAGACAGCCGTAGATGCCTTCAGGAAGGGCCTCCTCCCAAACGGAGAGCTATACAAAGAACTTACAAAGCTGGGATGCACAACAATGGAAGATGCCCTGGCCCTGGCAGTGATCCAAATAAGATGGGAGGAGGATGAGATAAACCGAACGATTCACTCCAGATACGATTCAAGGCGGAATGACAGGAAACCAGAGCACAGGCCAACGGAGCACCGCTACCAACCCCCAACACGTAATTCAAGCAGAGTCAAGAAATCGTATGATCGTCAGCCAACGAGAACCGAGAGCAGACAGTTCGGATCGAACCGGTACAAAATACCGGAGTACAGCCTCAATGTCGAGCCAACCCAGGTGTTCGCAATTATGAAAGGAATGGGATCCACCGTTAAGTGACCGGGCAAGCTCAATCCCGAGGCAAGGAGAGACAAGACCAAATGGTGTGAGTTCCACGGCGATCATGGGCACAACACCGCAGACTGCATCGCTTTGCGACTAGAGGTCATTGCACTTCTAAAGAGGGGACACCTCCGAGATCTGCTAACTGATAAGGGGAAGAACACCATTAGCCAAAAGAGTTCAAAAGAACCATCACCACCTCCGCGAGAACCTACACCAAAAGGTTTATGTTCGCTCATCTCCGGGGGGTCAGAGATCAGTGGGGTAAGTTACTCATCAGCCAAGCGATATGCCAGAGCCAACCACCACCATGAAGTCCAGTCTAGTCCATCCATCCGGCCTCATGATCACACACTCATCAGGTAATTCAATTTGAAGATGACGAGCCAATCACCCTGGCCGCTCCTCATCACGATGCCCTAGTCATCTCCTTGCAGGTCGCCAACATCCTAGTGAAAAGAGTATTCGTAGATTGAGGCTCTTCGGCAAACATCTTATTTCTTGAAACAGTGAAGGCTATGGGACTGGAAGAGGCAAACATCAACATGCGGCCGACGCTGCTAGTTGGCTTCAGCTCTGAGCAGAAGTACACTATCGGGGACATCATCCTCCCTATCTACGCTGGAGGAGTGAACAAATAGACTATTTTTCTGGTAATCGACTGCCCCTCGCCATACGATATCATCTTGGGCCGACCTTGGATCCACGACATGCAGGTAGTCCCATCTACCTTCCACCAGAAGATCAGATTTCCAACCAAGTAGGGGGTACGAGAGATCAAGGGTGACCCCAAAACTTCTAGGGATTGCTACAAGAATGCCTTCAAAGGCAAGGATAATTCTTCGTAGCAATTACAGATTTATCCAACCCCACCGACCGAGCTGAATCAACCATCTATGGAAGAGTTGGATGAAGTACAGATACATCCGGATGATCTCGATAGAAAGACACATATAGGGTCCCGCCTCAAGCCCGAGACCAAAGAGAAGCTGATAGAATTCCTTAAATAGAACCAATACTGTTTCACCTGGTCGCACACCGACATGATCGAAATCAGTTCGGAAGCAATGGTCCACCAACTCAAGGTAGACCCAGATCACCCACCAGTGAAACAGAAGAGAAGGAAATTCGCACCAGAGCATAACCGAATTGTCAACGAAGAGGTCGAGAAGCTCTTGAGCAATGGTATGATCAAAGAAGTCCACTACCCCGAATGGCTAGTGAATGTCGTGGTTGTAAAGAAAAAGAATGGGAAATGGAGAGTGTGTATCGACTTCACGGATTTGAACAAAGCCTGTCCCAAAGATTCCTTCCCGCTCCCACATATCGATATGATGGTCGATGCAACCGCAGGTCACGAGCTCCTTAGTTTCATGGACGCTTTCTCAGGGTAAAACCAGATCTTGATGCACCTGGACGACCAAGAGAAGACAACCTTCATCACGGAAAGGGGAACCTATTGCTATAAGGTGATGCCATTCGGCCTGAAGAACGCTGGAGTCACCTACCAGTGGCTAGTCAACAAAATGTTCGCCGAATACCTAGGAGACACCATGGAAGTATATATCGACGACATGCTCGTCAAGTCACTGATGGCCGAACAACACCTCCACCACCTCAGCCAGGTATTTGTCGTCCTCAGGAAGTATAACACGAAGCTAAATCCAGCCAAATGCTCATTCAGGGTCTCGTCAGGAAAGTTCTTGGGCTACATAGTGACTCAGCGAGGGATAGAAGCCAACTCCGACCAAATCAGAGCAATCCTTGGTATACCGTCTCCAACTTGAGTGAAAGACGTCCAGCGCCTCACAGGACATGTGGCCGCCTTGAGCCGCTTCATGTCCAGGTCAGCAGACAGCAGACAAGTGCCATCTCTTCTTCCATGCCCTCAAGAAGTCCAAAAAGTTCGAGTAGACTGCCTCCTACGAAGAAGCCTTGCAACAGCTGAAAAGGTATCTTACCTCCCCTCCGCTCCTATCCAAACCTGTGGACAGGGAGAAGCTCTACTCTTACCTAGCGGTCTCAGAGACAGATATCTCAGCAGTACTAGTTCAAAAAGAAGAAACAAAACAGTTGCTGGTCTACTATGTAAGTAAGTTGCTCCTTGACGCGGAAACGCGATACAGTTAGCTGGAGAAGTTAGCCCTCACCCTCATCCATGCATCCAGAAAGCTTAGGCCGTACTTTCAGTGTCACTCAATCGTTGTACTCACCTCCTTCCCACTCAAGAAGATACTGCACAAACCGAAACTATTTGGCCGACTCCTGTAGTGGACAGTAGAGCTCAGTGAGTTTGACATATCATACTAGCCTCGCACCGCCGTCAAATCCCAAGCATTGGCCGACTTCATTGCTGACTTCACCCGAATACCACCACCACCCAAGCAGAAAGTGAGTTATTATGCATGAACGGCGGATCACCATCCAAGTGGACCCTCTTAGTGGACGGCTCGAGTAACGTGAATGGAAGCGGACTAGGAATGGTACTGGTCGCACCAGAAGGAGACATCATCTAGCGGGCAATACAATGTGGGTTCAAGTGCACGAACAACGAAGCCAAATATGAGGCCCTCATAGCTGGACTTTCCTTAGCCAAAGAAATTGGAGCAAAGAGACTAGAAGTGAAGTCTGACTCCCAACTCGTGGTCAATTAACTACAGGGCACGTATCAAGCACACGACTCGAAGATGACATCCTACTTGAGCATGGTCAAGGCGCTGCAGGCACAATTAGATGAGTTTTCCATCGTCCAAGTCCCCAAAGCGGAGAACTCCCACACTGATGCTCTTGCCAATCTTGGCTCAGCCCTCAAATGCTCTTCCCCCTCGTCCATCCCTCTACTATTCATGCACTGGCCAACCAACTGGAACGGACAACCAAACAAGCTGCTTGAGGAAGCAATGGGAGTTGAACTAGCCGAATGCTGGATGACTCCGATAGTGAAATACTTGGAGCATGACGAACTCCCTACGGACAAGAACGAGGCACGACGGCTAAAAACAAGAGCAGCCAGATTCACCATACATGAGGGCCAACTCCTTCGAAAATCGTTCTCGGGCCCCTACTTCAAGTGCACAAGCCCAAAGGAGGCCCAACGTGTCTTTGCTGAGTTACATGAAGGCAAATGTGGAAACCATGCTGGGGGACGCAACCTTGCGCAACGAGTGATCACTGCTAGATATTACTGGCCAACTATGCGCGTCGATTTGGCTGCTTATGTGAAGAAGTGAGATAGTTGTTAGAGGTTCGCTCATGTCTCACACCTCCCACCAGAGCGACTACATTCCATCCTCACACCCTGGCCCTTTATGAAGTGGGGAATGGACATCGTGGGAAAACTACCTATTGCTCTTGGACAGCGAGTCTTCATGTTAGCTGTGACAAACTACTTTACGAAGTGGATCGAAGCCGAAGCCTTCGTACAAGTCAGAGACCGAGAGGTAAAAGCCTTCATCTGGAAGAATGTCATCTGGAAGAATGTCATCTGCAGATTAGGGATACCAAAGGAGATCGTCACCGAGAATGGATCCCAGTTCATCAGCTTAGGCTTCAGGGATTTCTGCAATATGTGGAAGATAAAGTTGAGCTTCTCAACTCCCCGCAACCCCCAGTCTAACGACTAGGCCGAGTCGTCAAAAAAGACTATCATTCAGACACTAAAGAAGTGGTTACAGAAAGCCAAGGGTGCATGGGCAGATGAGCTACTCGGAGTCCTCTAGTCATACCAAACCATGACTCGCTCGTCAACGGGCGAGACCCCATTCTCCCTTACTTACGGTTCTGAAGCAGTCATCCCAGCCGAAGTATCAGTCCCGTCCGCCAGGCTCCAATGGACGAACGAGGAATCAAACGAGCAGAACCTTTGCCAGAATCTGAACACCATTAACGAGCTACGCAAGCGGGCGAGCATCCATAACACAATCTATCAGTAAAAGGCTGCCCGACATTACAACCGCAACATGAGGATCTGAACTTTCAAGATAGGCGACTGGGTCCTTCGCAAAGTCTTTCAAAACACCAAGGAGATCAACTCGGGCAAACTCGGCCCCACCTGGGAAGGCCCCTACAAGATAACCAAAGAAGCAGGGAAGGGTGCTTACAAACTTCAGACACCCGAGGGTAAAGACATCAGTAATAGTTGGAATGTCGTTCACCTCAAACGCTACTACTTCTAGGCGAACTTATCTTTTTTCTGTTTTCTTTTTTTATTTTAAAAGGGATGAGTGGGCATATCCACCTCCTCTAAGACAGTCGGCCTCATGGCCAAATATTAATGAAGTATTATTCAGAAATCTTTCATCTCTAAATCGACGACGGTCGATCAATTATTGTTAAACACCTTCAGATCGGCCATGCCCAGTCCACGAAATTGCACCTTCGAATCGACTCCGGTCGATCAATTATTTTTAACACCTTTAGGTTGGTCATGCCAATCCACGAAATTGCATCTCCGAATCAACTCCGGTCGATCGATTGTTGTTTACACCTTTAAATCGACCCTGTCGAATCCACGATTTTGCACCTTCGAATCGACCAAGCTCGGGTCACGAAAACACCTTCGAATCGACCCCATTCGATTCACGAATACACCTTCGAATCGACCCAACTCGGCTCAACACCTTCGAACCGACCCCATTCAGTTCACGAGAACACCTTCGGGTCAACCTTGCTCAATCCACGGAATCACACATTCAGATCGACCCTGCTCGATCCACGGAATTACACCTTCGGATTGACCCTACTCAGTCCACGGAATCACCCCCTCAGATCGACCCTGCTCGATCCACGTTATCACACCTTCGGATCGACCTTGCCTGATCCACGAAGAGACACCATCAAATTAGCTCAGCCTAACCTACAACTCGCACCTTCGAGTCGGACCCGACCGACCCAAGAACTCGCACCTCCAGATTGACTTCACCCAATCCAAGAAACTTCATACTCAGTTGGCCAGACCAAATGAATGGTTCTTACACTGGCAATACGCAAAGCACCAA